GCCGGCAGGGGGCGCGCGTGCTCGGGGCGGCGGCGGGGCCGCGGGTGACGGGCTCTCCCTGGGTGTCTGAGCTGCGAACTCTGAGACTCGCTGGATGTAATGCCTGAGTGACCTCAGTAAGAACGGCGTGCACAGAAAAACCACTTTTAAACTCGCTGTCCTGTCCTTTTAATTTCCCATGAACACAGATTGTGTTTGTAATACGCTTTCATTAGAGCTTTGGTAGTAACTAGATGCAATTGACATTTTTCTAAAAAAAATACACACCGAAAAACCCAGTTGACTGAATGTTAATGTGAATGTTCTCAAAATCACAGCAAGGAAGAAGGAAGAGAAGAAAGGAGGAAGAAATCAAGGAAGAGATGAGAAAGAGAAAGATCGCCTTGGATGTGTCGCCCAGGGGCAGAGCACTTCTCCCACGCACAAGGCGCCGAGTTGGGTCCCTAGCACCACAGAAAAGAATTTTAAAAGTTAAGTATTTGATGGGAAGCTCTTACAGACTCATCCTGTTTTCTACTTTTGTTTCCCAGGTTTTATTAGTCATTTCTTACACCCTCACATTCAGGATCAGGAGATGAGGCCACAAGTTCCTTGTACCCCAACCTGTTATCTCCTTCCCCACTTCAGGATTGTCAGGAATGCTCAAGGCTACCATCCTGAGATCTCCCTGTCACACCCGCTCATTCATTCACGAAGATTTTATATCTGAATTAAAGGCTTTTTCTTCACCTCAATTCCTGTCATTGTTGTCATTTTTAAAAAAAATAAGACTGGGGGTTGAGCCCCAAGTTTCTTCTTGTGGTTTGGGGCTTATTGCAAGGTGAACAATATAATACAGGAGACATATTTTATCAGATATTTTATAGTAGTCATCCAAAGAATCATATACAAGAGAGTGCAGGAGATCCGTCCACACACTATAGACCAAAGAATCCAGCTGAGGGCCTGGATCCCACGGAAATTTCCTGCACGAGTCCAGCTGAAGACTTAGAGCCCATGACAATGCCTCCCACAAGTCTAACTGGAGGCCTAGAGCCCACGGCAATGTCTCATGCAGGCCTGTTTCACAGATCTGTGCCGGGAAGGCCCAAAGGTCAATGGTGGAATCTAAAAAGTCTGTGCCAGCAGGATGAAAGATCTGTGTTAGCAGGCTGAGGGATCTACACTGGAGCCAGGAAGCAACGCTCAAAATAAGAACCAGCGCTCCCCGAAAAAGTACCACAACCATTCTCAGCAACAGTGAGGTCCAGAGCTGCTCCAGTGATCAGGACAGCCAACTTCCCATTAGGAAAGCCAACGTGACAAACCTCCAGGAGACCGGCAGTGTACCATCTTCCCCTCTGGAGTCAGGAAGCGATGCTCAGAGTGAGGACCAGAGCTCGCCCACAGTGAACCGAAGCCATTCTCAACGACAAGATCTCGAGCTCCTTGGAGGGCGGAAACAGCCAAATTCATCAGGAAATCCAGCGTGACAAGCTCCTGCCAGAAAACCAGCAGCTCCTACAGCTTGTCTACTTCCAACAGGCTCCCAACAGCCTTCCATCTTCTCCCATTCTGCCTCTTATGCTGCTGGCAACAGTTCCCAGATGGGCCTCCAACACCCAGGACCACCCTTACTCAGTTCCGCTGGGTGTTATAAGTTGCCCACCAGTTGTCAATCCACCACACTTGTGCATGCTAGGCAAGGACCCTGTCACTGAACTACAACGCCAGCACTCCCCATGTCATTATTCTGATGTCTCAGTTGTTTGTCTCAAGTGTAATAATAACCTTTTCTTCCCCTCACTTCAACCGGCCATTCCCAGGGTCACACTAGATCTTGACTTTGGTAGCCTAAAGCCCTCTCTCCCACCACAACCTCCAGTTTTCCTGGCTCACCTGTGAAAATACTTCTCCTAACAACAATTCTTTGCGATCACTGAGATGCCAGTCCATTCAACCACCATGACCAACAGGTCAGCACCCCATAGACTTCAGTTCCATGTTTGCAGCTCGGACTTCACAATGTAACATTATATTCACTCCCTCGAAAATATTTTTAAGGGCGGGAGATATAGCTCAGCGGCACAATGCCTGCCTAGCAACTGCAAGGTCCTGAGTTCAATTCCTGATACCAAAAAAAATTTTTTAACTCCCATCCCCTTCTGCCTCTTTTTTACTTGTTGGCAAACCCCAAAGATTTGATTATACCCGATCTCCACCACACAATTGGGGTACTCTCTGGTGAGATCTTTGACTTTTTGAAAGAGAAGCTGGCAACCTAGCATTTCATATGGAGTCTCCCTGTCTTGAAATTATATGTTGGCAGCCGACTGTTCTGGGTGTATAATATGTCTGTCTTGAGGCAGAGGTAACATACTTCCAGTTTACTACCACTGTTTCAATGGCTTTCCGCTGTACTTTAATAATATCAAAAGTTTTGGCCTGAGCGGGGCGCAGTGGTACATGCCTATAATCCTACATGGATGGCCAGTTAGAGGTCAGCCTGGGGATTTAGCAATATTCAAATCTCTCATACGGGTGGGGCTGTAGTTCAGTGGTAGAGCAATCCTATGTTGAATCCCAGGCAGTGTAAAAACAAAACAAAACAAATAAAAACTCCTTAAACTCACATATTCTCCCCCAGGACCTATGTCTCCAGACTCACCTTTCCTCCTCCCTGCTCCACTCACTCTGCCGCAAGCACACTGACTCTGTTCTTCCTGCCCGCCGAGCTCACCCTTCCTTGCCTTAGGTTCTTTGTCTCTACTGCTCCTCCACCCAGAACACTTTATCTCCTTATTTCCAGTCCCACCACCACGGCCGCCGCCACCCAGCCGGCTCATTATCTTTCAGGTCTCACCACAAACACCAAACACTCTTTCAAGTAGCTTCTTGCCTGACATAGCGCAAAATTTAATTTGTAATCCTAGGACCGTGACCTTTGGGTGTGATATGTCAACTTGATTGGGTTAAGGAAGACCTAGCATATTAATAAAACACAATCAGTAAAATATAGTTCTAGGTAGTCTGTGGGGGGTGTCTCCAGGTTTCCAGAAACCTAAGGGGGAAAAGCTACCCTGACTGTGAGTGGGGCAATCCAGTAGGCTTGTAGCCTGGGTGGGATAAAAGCAAAAAAGGAAATTCATGCAGATGTTTGAAAAGCTCCATTCTCCTTGGGTGGGTGTATCTCTTTGTGGGCAGTGAGGGGTAGGGGTACTGGGGATTGAGCACAGGGACTTCATGATGAGCTACACCCCCAGCCTTTTTTATCTAATTTTAAGGCAGGATCTCCCTCAGTCACTAAGTTGCTTAGACTGGGCTCATACTTGCAATCTTCCTGCCTCATCCTCTCAGAGTTCTGAGATTTCAGGTGAGTGCCTGCACACCCAGTTGCGATATGTCTTTTGCTATTGCCAGCATGCGTGGGTAGCAGACTCCAGTTTCTTCAGACTTTCAACACTCTCAGCAGCAACTCCAGGAGCTTCTGGGCCTTCAGTACCAGACTGCTGCTGTACCCTTGATCTCTCTCATTCTGCAACTTCCAGCTTCTTGGCCTGAGCATTGTGGATTTTCTGTCCCTGATCTTGTGAACCTCCCTGATTATAAATCCCCGTGCAATACACACTGATAGACCTTTTTATTCATCCTCCCTTTCCTGTAGGAAAGGACCTATGTCTCTCTTCTGTAGCTAAATAGCCAGTGCTGAACATAGTTCCCGATACAGGGAGACTTGTTAAGCATTAGCTGAATGAGAAAGATATTCTTCCATTCTCTCCATTGCACAAGCTCTAC